GAGAGAGAAATCTCAGTTAAGTGCCAAGGAATCGTGGAAATTCTTCCTTAAACGGCCTTCCTGCCAATCTTTTGCCCTGAAATACTGTTATATCGGCTTTGGGGTGCGCGGAATAAACGGTAACATAAAGTTTTCGATTGGCGCGTGGCGTAACCACCCCTGTCCAAGGGATGGCCGCCCATTCTGCCCGGGGATACACATATGTGCACTTGTTCGCCCGTAACGAACGATCTACCCTCGTCCGAACGCTGTATTATATCGCGGACGATATTATAGTACTATTGTATTTAAAGCGACGACCATTTCAGACCGTGCTCCAGTTAATGAACTTCCTACGAGAGGATAATTGACGGAATGCTCGCTATGTATGTACTATAAATTTGCTTCTATATCTACTGAAATTGCTCGTGTCTTTAGAATTCTTACAATACCTATAGAAAAATATCATTCGATTGCTAAGTAATTACTCAATTTACTTTTTTCTTTTAATTAATGATTATCTTAAAAATATTTTCTTGGCAATAATCTTAAAATATATTTATTACAAATTTTAGAAGAAAAATTGTGCACTCAAGACAAGAATTTTTTTTTTTTTTTTCGAAATTATAACATATTTTTCTGTCTGTATAGCGTTGTACACATCACACATATTTTCTCTCTCTCTTTCTCTCTCTCTTTCTCTCTCTCTTTCTCTCTCTCTCTCTCTCTCTCTCTCTCTCTCTCTGTCTGTCTGTCTCTCGTCTCTCTTTTCTCTTCTGCGTATATCTACGTGTATCTAATACCGAGATTGAAAATATTAATATTAAATACTTGGAAAGAATGGTTTTGGTATCTAAAAATTCAATACATTAAATTACATATTTAAAGACACACATTTAACTACATATTTAAATACATATTTAAAGATAATGTTTTATCAAAATAATTATGTAAGACGCTCAAGCTGGTTCCTAGAATCTCAAAATTTTTTGCTCATCATATTTGAGTTTTCTACATAATTATTTTGATCCAACAGAATTATTTTCAAATCAGTATCAACCTAAATTTTTAAACACTTTAGCAAAATCTTTCTCTGTTCAATTTAAAAGCTCTCTAGCGATCTTTTATTCCGCGTAATTTCATCATGAACGCAATTAGTGTTCGATTCTCCCGAAGATGTCGGCTAAGAGATGGTAAGAAGAACGGAGGAAAGTTCGATCGCGTCTGGATGCGATACGTGTCGGTCGCAAGAGCGGTTCGTAGTGCCGGATGCACGTAGCTTGATAGAGGAGAGAGCCCTACGTGCCTGCCGATGCAACCTCACCCCAAGGGTGAGGGTTAACTCCCCCCGATACGAGAGAGCTCAATATATATTAAGATCCGCGAACCCCTCGGACTAAAAGTTCGTAACGTTCCCCTTCCTGCTCATGGAAGACTTCCTACGGACTCTCGCTAACCTCCCTATCCGACAGCTACGCTGTCGGAATTGCGATTATGGTGGCGATATTACTGGCGTAAGGGCAGTGCCCCATCCGTGAGGGTGGTATCCTACATCCACGTTTGTCTTTAATTTTCCTCTTTTTCCGCTCATCTCGCTAGTACGAACGCATTCTGAGCTTATTGACTTTACTTCTGAGCCATCGACTCCTGTCTATTTATTTGCCATGGTTTGATCTGCGAGAAAGAAGCCATGGGCGACAAACGGTTCTTTTCCTTACGATACCTAGTAGTGAAAGCACCACAGGATAGCTCTCAGGTAATTTTGGCTGTCCCAAACACATTACTCTCAAACTTTTATCTTTTGTCAACGTCGCTTTTTCTTCAGCAAATCATAAATATCTAATCGTAAAAAAAAAAACCAGGACAAATAACTAGTTATAGTTAATGAGATTTCGACCGGATAAGAGTATTTGCTGATTTTAACAACAAAAAAATTACGGTGCACAAAATAGAGTTTCAGGGATTTTATTTCCAATGTGAGAATGCGTGTAAAAAATAACACAAATGGAATGTCAGTTAGGTTTCAATACAATTTTGTGATTCATCATCTCGTTGCTGCATCTCTTAAAAAGCATAAAAACTGAGGAAAACCACGTTGGTGGTTTGCACGTGCCACCTCTCGCTTCGTGCTTTCTCCGCCAATGCAGAAAATAGCGAGACACGTCTACCTACTACAAGACGGCGAGGCGAGGGCGCGCGATCGATACTCGACCACAAAGACGCTAGCCACGGCATAGTTTTCATCGACATCGAACGGTCATCAGTCGATCGTACGCAAATGTACAATCTACCGGTCATATTTAATGCAATCGCGGGTAACTATATGTTCTAGAAAAAAAAAACTATCGTATATATAAGCTATTCTATTAATCTAAATGATATTTTCATTAAGCTATTATGTTATCTTTAATCTTTTATCTTATTCTGGAAAACTTGATACAGTACTCTAAAAAAAGAATATTCTACTTAAACCAACAAAAGAGCCTAAGAAATGATGAATTTTGGCAAGGACAAATAGAATTTCTGGTTACGATAGCATTTTTTGTTGGTGTAATCAGAATATGTTTCTCGGTGTTGTATCATTTTTTACTAGCAGAAAACATTTTGTATTTGTGTTAGAAATAGTTTATGTCCTTGTTAAAATTTTGTATTGAATTTTTAATGTATCTGAGTGTTAATTTAAAATAACGTAATTGTATTATTTTTTGAATATTTTGTGTTAAATTGATATTCAATATGTCTTAGTATTAACAATAATTTATGAATACATGAACAAGTAACAAAAATTTTTTTAAATTTCAAGATAAATGAATAAATGAATAAAATGTGTTAATTTAATATATTATAAATGTTGAATTTTTATTGAAACATGTTGATTTAACATTATTATAAATGTTTATTAATGAAGAAATATAATTTTTTTACATAATATTAAATTATTTTACGTCTTAAATAAACACAAAAATTTGAGCGAACCATTTTGGACATATGAAATGTGTAACATTTAACACAAATTTTCTAACTGAGTAAGCACATGAAAAATTGCAAGATCTGTTATAATCTTTTTCTACATTACAAATCTTGCTTATGACGTAAATCTTAACTAAGTGGCGATCTTCCATAAAGCTAGAACGAAAAAAATGTCTCCATCTCAGATGTGTCCATGCACACAGGACTGACGGAAACTGATATCATGGGATTGTAATGAAATATAATGCAGTGGCTAATCGCCTTTTCTTCCAATTCCGAAGAGTAATTTCATAGGACGGTCACGCCAATGGGAAATCCGTCTCGCCGAAAAATCGACGCGATGTATTAATCGACGAGGACGACTCTCAGTGCGATCCAATTAAATGCCGCGCGGCATTAACGACACCGTGTCTCTTCTTTTCCTTGCAACTTGCAGCGAGGTTGAAAGCAGCAGATATAAACACAGTCACGGAGGGCTCTGCAAAAGGAAGGATGAATTTTTCCGTCCTTAATGAAATTTCCTAGACGATAAAGAACCTCAGCGAAGGCGTCGAAATAAATATGTGACGATGATAGTGGCGCGTTTTCTCATTTCTGTAATAATCTAATAAAACCAGGGAGAAACATTTATCGATTAACAGGAAAATAGAAAAAATAATATATAGAATATTTTAAAACATAGCAAGTTTGAATTTTCATTCTTGATTCGTGTACAAAACGACAATATCCATTAATCCAATTACATCTGTGATAGTATAGTATTCTATCGTAAAAGAGTGTACCGTATGCTTACTTTAAAAGCGGCACGAATCCAGTTTCGCAAACCCCGCTAAAAACTATTAATTGCGATCGGAGGCGTGCGAAGGGTACCGGATCGTAATTCGATGCGCGGACGACGGCGAATTGCGGGACTGCATCTCCGTGGTTCCCGGCTACTGGTACTCTCGAACTGCTGAAAAAGCTTTTTTTCACCGGCAGCGCTTTAATGAAATTTTTTCGACCTCGTCATCGTCCCCGTAATAATCTCCCTTTTGCGACCGGGTAGCCGGCGCGGTCTGAATTTATTGCAGCCCGCCTGCCGGAAACACGTCCGTGAGGAAATCTTCTGGATAAGAGGCTCACGAGCTCTACCTCAGTCTACCATTTTTTGTCACTTCTTACCTTGCCGAGTCTTTCCTGGTCCGAATATGAAATACGCGGGAGCGAAGAGGCGCGTAAAAAAAGAGCGACAAAGAGAGGAGAGTGGAAGGAAAGAGAGAGAAAGGAAGTAAGAGAAAACGAAGGAAAGAGAAATGGAAGGAAGGGAGGAGAGAGAGAGAGAGAGAGAAAGAGAGAGGTTCCGGTAACGGCGAGGATGACGACGATGGACGATGGATCCTTCTTGCCCTGGTCGGAACTTTTTGCGGTCGCTCTTGGGACGAGCCCGAGAGCCAAGGGGGGCAATAAAACTAATGGTAACGCGCGCCGGTAATTCCTTGCGGTCTGTTTGTCGCAAGTCGACGACCTGGCCTCTCCGCCTCGTCATTTACCGAGGGAGGATTCTACGGCCAATGTCGGCCGACCGACGACAATGACGACGGCGGGTGGTGCTTTCTCGCTTTCGTCGCGGTTGGTGGTAACACGTAGAATTGGGTTAGCATCGCGGATTTTAAGTGCCGGATGCCTTCCTGCATCGAAATGCGATCGCTTTCTCGATACTTTCGAAGGAGGGTTTCCGTTTTCGACCATTGTCCACGCTGGTCTCATTAACTTCAACCAAGAACTAGAATAGAAAAAAAATGGGTTTCCCATAAAATAGATATTAACGTAATTTTCTTTCTTTTCAATCTGTTTTGCAGTGGGTAGAGGAGTCTTTTACAAACTTCGACAAAGGTATCAATTGGCGGAGTTACGTTGTCTGCGACGTAGCGTACACCAATGTGAACAACTGGCTGTGGACGCCGTTCATAGAGAGGGGTCCAGCGAATCGCATGTACATAGAAATCAATTTCACGACTCGCGACTGTTCGTTATTCCCCGGGAACGCTCTCAGCTGTAAGGAGACTTTCAGTCTACTCTACTACGAGTTCGACGCCGCCACCAAGGAGCCACCCCCGTGGGAACCGGATAGTTATAAACTTATAGGTAAGCGATGATAATTATACAAAGCATGACAATTAAAAGCTTTACCTCGAAAATAGGATAATGATTATTTCGAGAATAACAAATCTAATAGAATTTGCAAAGAGATGAAGAATACTTTTTTTTGAAAAAATTTTAAAACATAAATTAAAATTTTACAATTTATTATTATTATTATTTTATTTAATTAATGGAAAATTAAATTAATTATAATTAACAGATTAATTAATCCTAATAAAAAGTTTGTTCTGTTTTTCGAAACTATTCCTGATGGAAGAATTAAAATTTATGTTGTCGGTGGAGAGTTACTAGATTCTTTTTTTTTTTCATGCAGCTGTTTTCAATTAAACTCATCGCTCTCAATATTTAGGACGGCTTTACATGCCGATTTTATGTACTTGTAGGTCGTATAGCTGCGGGCGAGGGTAGGTTCAACACGAACACCGAGGTGGTGATAAACACCGAAGTGAAGTCGATTCCGGTGACGAAGAAGGGCGTCTACTTCGCCTTTCGTGATCAGGGCGCTTGCATATCGATCCTGGCCATCAAGGTATACTACATCAGTTGCCCTGAGATTTCGGTGAACTTTGCACATTTTCCGGCCACACCAACCGGTCGCGAGGTTGCGCTTATTGAGCAAACGCGCGGCATTTGTGTTGCGAATGCCGTCAAAATCGCCCAGCCGACTTTCCTCTGCAAGGGAGATGGCAAATGGTATCTCCCGACGGGCGGATGCCATTGCAAACCTGGCTACCAAGCTGACACGGATAAGCAGGAGTGCAAAGAGTGTCCGATAGGCAAGTTCAAACATGAGGCGGGTTCTCATGCCTGCGAGCCATGCCCAGAGCACAGCAAAGCTTCCGATTACGGTTTCACGGAGTGTCGTTGTGATCCGGGCTATTTTCGGGCAGAAAAAGATCCTAAGAAAATGCCTTGCACACGTAAGTATTAAATTAAATTAACAATTTTTACAAAAAAAAGCTCGTGTCATTATTTTAAAATTTAGAAAAATAATCATTCAAAATAATCGTCCAAAAAGGAATTTCTGTCTAGGAGTTTTAAAGAACATCTAAAATATTAAATTAAGTTCCTTGAGTATTTTCATTAAAATGAAATATTAACTTCTATAATTTATACTTGCGTTATATTGTTTGATATAATATTTGTGAGTTGCGATATATTAATTCAAAGAAAAAGTTTTGCGTACATGAAAGATGAAAAGAATTTGGAGGTTCGGCGTTCCGCGAAAATTTTTAAGACTATATACTTTTTTGCAGAACCACCTTCGGCGCCGCAAAACCTGACCGTCAACTTTGTCGATCAGTCCACGGTGATCCTTTCCTGGAATGCGCCGCATATGCAGGGTGGCAGGTCTGACACGACTTATAGAGTGGACTGCGATTCTTGCAGCATGGGAGTCAAATACATTCCTAATACTGTGAGTTTTCGTCAAAATCGTACATTTATACGCGAGTATATCGATTGTGCGATAGTTGAATTATTTCTCGATCAAAAAGTTGATGCTTCGATTTTGTAACAGGAGATCTTTAACGACACGAAGATCACGATAACTGGCCTGAACGCGGTGACTACTTACCGCTTCCAAGTGTTCGCCGAGAACGGCGTATCGTCGTTGATCGGCAAATCGGAATACGTGGACATTACCGTTACGACAGAGGCGAGCGTGCCAAGTCTAGTGAGCAACGTCAGGATCACAAGTGTCAAGAGTTCAGAACTCAGCATCAGTTGGGACGCGCCAGATATCGGAACTGGTGGAGACAATGATCTCGTCGAGCGATATGAAGGTAAAGCTAAAAGTCATAATAACAATATGTTGCTGTGCCATTGTATAGTGAAATCAATTCTAAATTGTCATTCAATCGCATTGTGGCGGCGGAGGAATTAATAATCTCGATATCTGGTACAGTGAGGTGTTATCCGCGCTACGACGACGCCACTAATGCAACCGTCATTCAAACGTCCGAACTGTCTGCCACGTTCAAAGGTCTCAAGCCTTCCACGGATTACGCGATACAGGTTCGCGCTAAGACCACCCGCGGTTGGGGCGAGTATACGCCGGTGATATTTAAAAAGACACCCCACGCGATGGGTTTAGGTAAGCGCGTTCAGCGGCATTTAGATTCACATTTCGCAATCTCCTTCGTACCGTGCCTTTAACAGAAATGTGTTTCATGCAGACTACGTCGGCGAGGACGACAACATGCAAGTTAGGATAATCGCAGGGGCGATTGTTGCTGTAGTCGTACTTCTCGTGATTATTATCATCATGACCGTTTTAATTCTTAGAAGGTAATTGAATCATTTTCTATATTTGAAATATATATCTCAAATGTTGCTAACTATCATATACTAATGCACGAAAAATCACTTCTTTCCAATTGCTTTGCTCAATTCGATTAATATACGATTTCGTTGCAGCAGGGCCTCGGACGAATGCAACAAGAAACAGCCGAGCGACTGCGATACCCTGGAGTATAGAAACGGCGAAGGTACGTTTGCATTTTGCTCGAAATTTCTCTTTTTAAAAATTTATTATCGCTATTACCCGCCCCGCCCCCACAACCCTGTCACTTTCATAGTTGTTTCACTATGCCCTCGTGTCTTGTGACTAACTTTGGAATCACTGGCCCCCCTTAGATCCAGCAAGTGTCGAAACTATACCCCGTATACAAACAGACCCACGATAATACGTTAAACACCCCCCCTCAATACTGTAGAGATTTTTTTGCGGATGAGAGTGAGAGAAAGAGAGATAGCTGAACAATTAACACCATAGAGAAAATGAGCGAAGAGAAAGCAGTCGGGCTCTGAAATACGTCCGCGACAGGGACTTAAAGAGAAACGATCGCTTTCCAACCAAAATTCACATCGATCTGGCCCCATTGCCTGAGTGCGATTATTCTAACCAAATTCTTTCGATTCTTTCTTTTCATGTGCGATTCCCCTAATCTATCGAACCTGCCTCCATGAAAAATCCATGAAAAAATCCAATGAAACAATGTACACAATCGCCTGCTACTACAGGACTAGTTGTGACCTACAGTAAGTCTTCTCCAAACACCTCAAGTTTTGTTTTTTAGGAACTCAATTTTGTGTAGATTATTTTTGCAACCCCTGTACATGCATTACACTCTCAATCTAAGTCAGACTTTACGCTTTTGCATATACACACATCACACACGCACCAACAAACATATACAACAATTATGCACGATACCTAATTTTCTTAGATACACATTATGCGTGTTCGCGTATGTGCGCATTGTGCTTGCGTCTGTTTGTTATGTTGCATTGTTCATGTTTCAATTGCATGCGTTTTCTAGTGTGTCGATGTTAATATCGTATGTGCTTTTTATATCTGGATTTGATTCGTGAAACATACCAGGAAGAACATAAAAGATAAAAAAAAAATACGCTTAAAAGAGCGCATTTTTAATCAGTGCGTTATGTGGATATTCTAATAATTTTTTATTCTAATAACTTGGATTCGATTACATTTTCACAATAATCTCATCCGTGATCAAATGAAGATATTTCAGTTACCATTTCTCGCTTTACGTCATTTAAAAAAAGAATTCATCGTACACTCGCCGCTTTTTTTTGTTTTGCTATTTGTCAATTAGTGTGTTGGTTGTTGTGTTGTTCACAGTGCACTGCAAAATGGACAGTTCACCGATTGTGACAACCCATACCAACAACAAGAGCAAGTCCTCGCGTAAGTCCTTTGTTTCCCAAATTAATCTCCGGCCAAAATTTTTGTGACTGAAAGAAAAACAGAAACGCCGGACATGTCCGCACGATATATTAAAGGCATAACTGAAAGCACCGACACTCGTACATTCACTCCGAGTTCTCCACGATTATTATAGTTTAGCTTTAGTTACACTACACTCCGTTCTGTTCTTTCTTCACTGTCCTAGATATGCGATATGGATGAAAAGTTTGGAAATAATAAAAGCATGCTGCAGCCCCGTGTTTCGCACGCAATTGCATCATGTTCTTGCATCCAATTTTTTAAATTTTATTTTTTATTTTTCTTCAAGCGATCGTGCTTCGCGATCGCCTTTCTTCTTACCATGATATATGCAAAATACTTGGATGTTCTGAGACGGCTCAAATAGAAACTAAATTGGTGTGAACAAAGAAGATTGTAAAAATCAACGAGAGGAAGACTGTTTGAATCGTCCGAAGCATCTGGAACGAACGGTGTAAAAAATCGCCGAGTTTTCCGGATATATCGCAATAATCTTCAAAATAATTTAGCATGCAAAAATTGTGCATTTTGATTATGCGCGAATTTTTTCTAGCATATATAGATACCGCCGTTCGACATTAAACACCAGATTCTAAGCTAGATAAACACATACAAGTAAAAAAAAAGACTGTTTCACTAAAGTGGGATTGAAAAAGAGAAGAGACATATTTTAGAATCCACCTGCGTTTGGCTTTCTTGGTTGTGTCTTGTTTTTTGGAAATTTTAAACTCGCTGACGAGAGAGAATGTGTGAGTGTTTCTTTTTTGCGGGATTTGACACGGTTGGCCGAGCGATAGAGCGAATGTTGGGACGCGCGGTCTAGAGTTCTGTCAAAATTTTGCACCACCGGCCCTCGTGTTAATATAATGAACTCTGTTTTCGTGACGTTGCAGTGACCACGCCGCTGTTCACACCTGCAGTGGGGGTCGCCGCGGCAGGCGCAGGCAGTGCAGGCGGTGCAGGTGCAAGGAGTTATGTGGATCCTCACACCTACGAGGACCCGAATCAGGCGGTACGCGAATTTGCCCGAGAGATTGATGCCGGATATATCACGATAGAAGCCATTATAGGTGCGATTTTATATATTATTATTATATAGTATCACGAACGATTATCAAATAAGATAATTTTAGTAATTTGATTATATTCTGAACGATTTTTTTTGCAACTACAGGTGGCGGAGAGTTCGGCGACGTCTGCCGAGGGAAATTGAAATTGCCTCCCGACGGACGGACGGAAATAGATGTGGCCATAAAGACCCTGAAACCAGGCTCTGCAGACAAAGCTCGTAATGATTTCCTGACAGAGGCGTCGATAATGGGCCAATTCGAACACCCCAACGTGATATTCCTGCAAGGTGTGGTGACGAAGAGCAATCCGGTGATGATCATCACGGAGTTCATGGAAAACGGTAGCCTGGACACTTTCTTGCGCGCGAACGACGGCAAGTTCCAAGTGCTCCAGCTGGTGGGCATGCTGCGTGGCATCGCCAGCGGTATGCAGTATCTCGCGGAGATGAACTACGTGCACCGCGATCTCGCAGCGAGAAACGTATTAGTCAATGCCGCTTTGGTTTGCAAGATCGCCGACTTTGGGCTCAGTAGAGAGATCGAGAGTGCCACAGAGGGAGCTTACACGACCAGGGTGAGCAGATTTAAGTTGCAGAATTAAAATTAATATAAGTCAATGACTTATAAGGCTCGAATATATATTTATAATTTCTTGCTCGATTAATTTACCATTTATATTCAGGGCGGTAAAATTCCGGTACGGTGGACAGCACCGGAGGCGATAGCGTTCCGTAAATTCACGAGCGCCTCCGACGTTTGGAGTATGGGTATCGTATGTTGGGAGGTGATGTCGTACGGCGAGAGGCCGTACTGGAACTGGTCGAATCAAGATGTGATAAAATCGATCGAGAAAGGCTACAGGCTTCCAGCGCCGATGGATTGTCCGGAGGCTATCTACCAGTTGATGCTCGATTGCTGGCAGAAGGAGCGCACCCATCGGCCGACCTTCGCCAATCTCACACAGACTTTGGACAAGCTCATACGAAGTCCGGACACACTGAGAAAAATCGCTCAGAACAGGTAAAAGCTCTCACTTATCACTGTAATCGCCAAATATCGATACGTGATAGGGAACGATCTTTTAGGATATATTAATCACAAAAATAATATTAGGAAATTCATTTCATGAATCATACGTTTAGCACGTAATTATTATCATACAATGTAAATTAAAGAAAATATGATGGAATGTGTATAATCGGCATACAACGAATGAAATTTGCTTCAAACGCACGTTCATTGACATTATCTCGTTCTTTTTCTTTTCATTTATCTCGCATTGAGTCGCTCGTTCATTAAGATCTTAATAAGAATCACGCCGCATGCTACGTGACTTATATATCGTGTCCATAAATTAATTTCTCTCGACAGCTAATAATTATTTTCATTCATTTGCCGAAACACTCACGCGTGGATCATGCTACATCCGTTTCACGCCACTTATAATGGGATTTGGCATTGAGGCTCATTGATGTATGACGTCCCGCACAAGCCTACAATCGTATATACATATATAATATGCATATGTATTCAAAAGGAAGGCCAATGTCTGCATACTCGCATACGTATTCGCGCCATCGTGACACTTCGACCTGATTGGCATTACTGGAAGCAGGCTACACATACTGGACTGCGTTATACGCACTTGCTTTTTATGTTCGTGCCTTTTCTGTTTTTTTATTTTTTTTTTTTTTTTTTTTTTTTTTTAATTAGTTCTCTCGACATATCCCCTAGGTAACACTCCAAAATTTTCTACTGCGTCTATGCTATTTTGACATTCATTTTTCAACACGCACGAGAAAGAAAAAGAGAAAGATAATTATGTTTGCCTCGAAAATTTGAATCTCTCTTCTTTCTCATTATAGTACACACTTCGCATATCTCCTCGCTATTTTAATATCAAAGAGTCACATCTTATAAACAATACTGCTTTATGCTTCAAAATACATTTGGCCGAGCGAGGTTTCCAGAATTAGTTAGCAGGAAAATTAATTTATGGACGAAAGTCTACGTCGTCTGCGTACTTTTATCGTGTTTCGGAGACCTAGTCGAGATCATGCGACGACTTCAACAGAGCTTCCAATTGCTTCTGCCGCTTATCATTTCTACACTTCTTGAGTCTATTGTTCGCATTTCAATTATTCTTTACAAGATACAACTATGTTTAATAGAGGGCTAATTTTGTATTTTGTGTTGCTTTTCTCTTTTACTGATTGATAAAATTGAGTTTTACTGCAATCGAGTAGTGTATAAAATATCTACAAAATAAAAATTCGTTTATATAGCAAGTTATCTAACTGTAATTTTATGTTTCCTACAAGAAACTTGTAATCGCAACGAAATGGGTAAGCCTCCCTCAGATTCTCCGAATATTCCGTTGGCATGAAAGAAAACATTATATCATTTTATTACATTATTATTTCATGTATCTTTTGTTCGCGGAGCGACTTATCGATTCGTATTTTATGCCAATGGGACGCAATATAAAATTCGCATTTGGAAATCTCGTTGGTTTCTCTCCTGTTCCTTCGTTTCGCCTCTTTTTTCCCCCTGGGCTAATTCTTTGTGCTTTTGGTTTTGTGGTGTCCTTTGGTACCTGACTACGAACTACTGCAACTGCAACGCAACTGCGACAACTATCGTCCACGACAACAATCATCGCCTACAGCGTGAGGCCGCCTGCACACAATCCGTACTATGTCACAAGCCACACAGCTGCCGCCCAGGCTGCGGCGGCTGCGATGCCACCAGGCCCAGCCGCGAGTACGGCGAGCCCGTTCGTAGACATAGTCGGCCATCAGGCCCATCAACAAGCCCAGTCAGCGATTGCCGTTCCAGTAATGCCACCAGGAGCCGGCCGTAGCTTACACTATCACACACACGCAGCAACACACGCATTGCCACACCAACAATCATCGCTCACCTATCCCAACTGGGTTCCGTTCTCTCATTTCGGCTGAGAATGGTTACATTTGAATTAAAACGAGCAAGAGATCACCATCATCATTATCATCATTTCCGCCCGTCTTTCTAGCCATCAGAATTAACGTCTGATATTTAAACCGGACGTAATCTCAAAAGACTGCATTCTATATCGTTACGATTCGCATTATCTTTTATAATCGCGCTAGTCGTAGAAAAATTATAGGAACTCTTCCAGCGAAATAGTAAAAAAAAAAATAGTATAATCCAAGTCGTGTCAGATGGAATAGTAGATGTGACGAAAATAGAGGTATAATACAGCCGATAATACACTATCGGAGTGTGCTATAAACTGTATGTACAAGAGTAGTACCGTCGTAAAAGAATCTCTTCTCCAGTCTTTTTACTACGAATTATCGACAAATGCGAGGATGTAGCTATAGATATACATGTTAGATGATACAGAGAATTTCTCCATGTTGAACTAAGCAATAAACTTTACCATACAGAGTTAGAGCGTATATTATCGATTAAAATTGTACCGAGATATAAATTGAAAGTTTAAGAGTGTTTCCAAATTTTATGAAGGATAAATTCAACCATCGAATAGCAATATAGATTTAAACGCGAGCTTAGAGAATAAAAGGCAAATAAACGTGATGTGCATAAAAAGCAATTAGAATCTTTAAAGTGTTCTCATAATTCTATATTAATCATCATAGCTTTCATTGATATATGCATAAAGAAAGAAAAAAACACATATGCATGTACACACAAAATCACACGCATATATTTACTGAGGGTGTCCCAAAATTAACGCCATTTTTTTCGATTGCGAATTCTTTAATCAGTTTGGACTCGATAAGAAAGTTTTCGATGGGGAAAAATTCGCCTATATACAACAAATTGCTCAAAAGAACAGCCATAGTCTTATGACACCCCATACATCATACATTAAATCGATATAAGTACTTATTGTGTAATTTATTAAAACTATCGATTTTATCTTAGCGAAAGATTTATTAACATATATATGTACAGCACGCGTGCAACCGGTTGACCATTTTAGAATAGTATTTTTATACGTAATATATTAAATGAAAAACAATATAATTAATAATTAACGGTGTTAGATTATATTTCTGCATCCATGAATCATCAAGAAATATTGTAATCATAACATTAATTTTTAAACTTTCTACAAAATATGATGAAACAACGCCATTCTAAGAGAAATGATTAATTTACGTAATTCATTGATTACAAAATTTGCTATTAGACTATTTCTCTTTACGTCCTCTGAAAATATTACATTAAAAACTTGTCGCAGCATTTACAGATTGGAGGTGAGGCATTTATCCAATAATAGGAATAAATAAGAATACAAGTGATTTGCCGAAATTTTTTCATAATCATTGAAATATCGATCACGCTAAATTCGTCTTTTTTTTTTTGTATTTTTAAGATTCAACATAAAATGCATTTGTAAAAAGCTTAAAATGATTCCAAACTGTTTGTAAAAGATAAACGTGAAAGTATTCGTATCAGTGAACGATAAAAAAGAGATAAAATTTGAGAAAAAAGATAAAATTCAAAGCTAAATAGATTGAAACTAGCCTGCAGATAGAAACACACACCTAGTATGACTTTCATCGCACTAACAAATGCTAACAATTGTCAGAATCAGAGAAAGGGGTGGTCCACCCTCACCCCCACCCGCCTCATCGGAATCTTCCAACGTGCATTTGAGAAACAGGTAAAGAAAAAAAGAAAAGAGAATCAAAAGCGGCATTCCCACACACTGAATCCTATTTGTGGATGAGAGAAAAAAAAGAAAGAAAGAAGCGCAGAAGAACAGAAGCTCAATCGTTTCTGTTTCGTCCAGTGCCCTAGATAACACAGAATTCGCCCTTTAACATTTCAACGATTTGATTATGCTGACTGTGCTTTCACGTTCTCTCTGCTTCTTTGACACAATAATGAAATATCGCCGTATCATGTAGACAGTCGTCTCCATGCTTGGTAAACCTCTTAGTTTGTGTTGCACTGCTTGCCTTCATACGCACCGTAATCCGTTCATGTGTACATGTACCTAAACTGTAAACTATGTATCATTAACACGTTATACGATACACCTCTCGTCAACAATACTATTGTTAGTAGTTTGCGTTATTATCATCCTCATTATTGTCATTACATTGCCATTGTGTCGTCATCGTTATAGTACTTGTATTATTTTTTTTGCGATATTTGTTTTATTATTATCATATTGAACATATTAGTATTACTAATATTATATTAGTACTCTCATATTTTTAATAAGTGATACTCTCATATTTTTAATAATAATGTATTAACACATTAATATTATTATTTAGATATTTTTGATATCAGTAATATTATGTTTATTATGATAGTTATTTTTTTTAATTTTTATTTTTTTATATAATTATTATTGAGCCGAAGAAAGATTGGATGTATGTATCGGTATTTAAGTTTCGTAGCGCCTGTACATAACGTTGTACAAAAAAGTGAATCAAACTTACAAATTAATTATATATATGCTTTGATTATGTTTATTTTTCAAAATATATAATTCGTAATTTATAATTTATACAAAGCCGATCAAATATTACACGTATGTATATTCATAAAAAACCTATTTAGGATTAAACTGTATATATTTAAATAATCAATTTATACATATTAGTTCCGTTTTATACTATCCTTAAAAATTTATATCTATCCTTAAAAATTTATCAAATAAATTATATATATCAATTGAATTATTATTTTAGATTTTTTCACAGATATTCTAGAATTTAAATTTATGAACTTTTATTGATTTATTCTTTCTATTTCAATAATCGATGTGACAATAATTTTACATGTTTAAGATGCCTTTTTATACGTATGTAATATTAGGTATAGTAAAAAGAAATCCATTATTTTTGGATGAAATCGAATGGAAAAGTAATGGATTTCTTTTTACTACACCTAATATCTAAACATTTGTATATGTATATATATATATACATATATATATATATATATATCTCTTCTTCATGTACGTAAAGTCAGGAATCAACAGTTACGTTTTACAACCAATACATACTGATAGTATAATCTAGAAGTACATAGAAATAAAATAATTTTGATCAATTTAAGAATATATTATTAATGAAACATTAATGAAACGAATATTATTAAGAATATATTATTATTAATTAATGATATTCCGCACATAGTATTTTGTAACCCGATATCCTATGAAATAAGGAAGACATTAGTAACTTCAATATTGATGAACTATCTAGCGGTCTATAGCCGAACTATCATCTTCTTTATTTTATTTTTAGCTTCTTTGTCATTAACTTGTGATGTCGATAGCAAATGAGCAAATCCAAAACATACATTTGAATTATGCGAATGTGAATGTATTTGGATAGCGAAAGAATTTAAAAAATCCTGAAATCTCGTATACCTACCTTTACTTCTTCGTACTCTTCCTTACTGTGAACGTTATTCATTCGCGCAGAAAGAGATATTTCTTACCTTGTTGTTTTTAACAGGGGCACAAATCCACTGGCGCCAGATGCGGTGGATCTAACGCAATTGAATTCCGTCAGCGAGTGGCTAGCTTCCATCAAGATGTCACGATACGCAGAAAGCTTTGAGCGGGCGGGCGTGACGACGTTGGAGGCAGCAGCGCGCGTCACCGTCCAGGAGCTCACGGCCCTCGGCATAACGCTCGTAGGACATCAGAAGAAGATCATGAACAGCGTGACGGCATTGCGGGCGCAAATGTCCGCCACTTCCCAGGGTTTCCTTGTGTAACCATGACCGCGACCTCAAATCCCGCGAACGAATCGTACGTAGAAATCGGCTGATTGGCACGGAACATCGCTATCCCTATGGATCTCACGAATTTGAGGCGCCCCGACGCATCGCCTCCGCGAGAAGCGAGACGATGACCCTTCCATGTATCATCTAGGACTCGTGATTACCTAGTCAGAGCAACGATGTCCTCGAAAGAATATCTCTTCGCGCGCAAATAGATCCGTTGAACTAATTGGGAGTTGATTCATTTGAGGCAAAGCTTTCATGATACCTCCGAAACGATACGCGAACATCGTCTCACTTTAACCGAGAGATTCAAAGCATTCGTGCTGCAGACATTCCACGTTAGCGAGAGTCGAAAAGAAATCCATTCTTCGCATTTACTCCTCTCAAAGAGAGGGAGTACGAGGACCACGCATTCGCCATCTCGCATATAAAGTGCAACGACTTTTATTCAATATGTAGAACGACACACCTATTGCGAAACTTCCGTGATTTGTAAGTGTCAAAGAAATCTAACGCCTTACGGATCATTCACGAAGCTCGTTTTAGAATGTGATTCTTGAAAGATCATTGTGAAAGAGTCTTAATGGGATCAAATGTAACATACTCTCCCACGAACAACGAGCGCCAAAACTCTTTCATTTCCTAAGCCGTTTCGGTGATCGATCTATCTAAAGATCAGACTGACAACGGAAATAAAGCCCTATAATCACTGCCGCGAAATCTTTTATCACTTATGAATGTTCTCCTCTTAGTTTAAAGTATTTGTGTAACAACTGTTGGATTGTATACACTATACATTTTTTTCGGAGACTTTCATTTGAGATTTACAGCCGAATTCTTTTTTTTTTTTTACTATTCTATTATCGCGCTTGTTAGGTTTTGTAACATTTTGTACTGAATGGCAGCTCATTTTAATTCGTATGTATCTGCGATATAGAACATTGAACGGCGAACATATCGGCCTAAATGTCGTTCGAATATGTCTGTTCCTGGCCTCTTTTAAGTATACTAAAGTTACGCGTTTGTCTATAACGATCGACATAGCAATACGCATCTGACAAGGAAAACTGACGATTAGAGAAATATAGGACCGTATCACGAGGGAACTGTACCAAAAATCGGATCGTAGTTTCCGAAATCGGTAGCGTGACAACAGTGTAGGTTCATTATTTCGTGTAGTGAATGTAGCGAGTGCATTACACTATTACGCATATGTCTGGTAATATACACGAGAACAAGAGAATGTTTACTCTTTATGCTAAATTACAACTTTATGCCTTTGCATTACCTATATGGAAACGTCGTACACGCGCGGCCTATATGTATACCTTTCGATTATAATGACAAACGACGAAACGAACGAAGCGAATATGTGCCAACGCGAGTGTGCAAGAGTTATTTTAGCGCGAGACTGCGTGACACGGGATAAATGAATGGAAAATGAGTGGACGCGTGAATGTGAGTGTGAATGAAATCGGTGAGTGACGAGAATCTGCAGCGACCCATTTTTCGCGCTATATTTATATGTACACGAGCGTGCGATCGCGAAATCATTCTATATATACATATACATATAAATAAATATTGTGTTATAAATACTACACTGTGAAAAGGGACGAACGGAAGTAAAACCAATAGGAAAAAAGTATAAGAGACATCCGTTCGCATCGGAAAGCAAAGGACGCGAGGAAAAACGATTTCAAACGCGTCCCCTATTAGTGAGCAATGCGTTAACATATCAACATTATCGCGGAATGCAATGCGAGCGCAAGAAGGGACGTGCGTCGTTACTTGAGATCGAGTTGAAATTACTCTGATTGATCTTCGATTCTATTCTCGGATCATAGCGAACGACAAAAGAGAAAAGCTAGCCGGAAAAAGAGAAAAAATATAAAGAGAAAATGAAATGTAAAGTGTCGGAGAGTGTAAGATATACGGAAAAAATACTCACGTATACGCGAGCAACGATGCGTGCAATACGAGGCACGCGCATTCACGAGATAACATTTTTTTTATTTTTACAGTCCGATCGAGGAGTTTCCTCGCGAAGCAACGTCCATTCCAATACATATACATGTATCCATAATAGAGAACCGTTTCCTTTCCTTAGAGGACAGAAAGATAGAAGAGCCGAGAAGCTTGTTTTACTGTATCTCGTTACATCCGTATTCGCTAATCGTAAAGACTGCATCCTGGATCGCGATACGTTATATCCGGGATACACACGTTACTGGCGACTTATCTTAAAAAGAGACCAACGGAGTGGCAGACATATGCGTACGAAAATATTACGCGTGAGATTAATTAAACGGCTTCCAAGTGAGTTCGGCGAGCCACGGAGAAATTCTTTTATTTTCTAATTTAACGGTTTAACGTTAGTAATATAGTCTACGATGTATATCGAGGCAACGTTGGATCGCGATAGAGAGAAGCGGAAGGCGTGTTTTGAGAGGCGAGATTTCTCGCATTCGACAAGATACAAGACAACGACAAAGCGAACATCTTTCGCAAAGTCCCAGCCAATTCTCCTTCCTTTAATCAAAGAAGAGGCGAAAGTCTCGCTCCAGCAAAGCGCTAGACCGGTAATTAAAATCGATCGCTTCTATCTCGAAGCGCGATCCAACGATGTTTCCCTCGTAAACGAAATGTTGCTCGAAGTCATACCGCGAGCGAGGAATGTCGGAATACGCTTTGGTGTCTTTCGACTCGCCGTACCTCCTTCCGCGTATCAGTGAAGAAACGGAAGAGAAGAGCGAAAAACATCGTGGAAGGCTGCGCGGCGAGAGCAAAATCTCCCTTAGGAAAAACAAAAAGAAAAAAAGAGAGAGAGAAGGCTACTGAAGAACGGCGACGATTATGAAGCAATAAGTGAATACCCAAATGCAGATTTTTATATAGAGAATGTTAACAAATTTCAGAAAATATTAATTATCGATAGCGCTATCTTCCTAAATGTTCGTATTAAAGATTAAACGAGAAAAAAGGTATGATAAAACGGTGAGATTGTGCGGGATCTCGGCTGAAAGGGAAACGAGAGTCGTGCATTAGGCGAATTTGAGCCATAATCTCATTTGTAATTTACTTCGGTAATAATTCAGCCAAGATCCCGCGGACGGAAGAAAAAGGTTTTAAGAACTTTCTCAAGCTGTAATTGTCTGTGTTTTAGCGATGAGTCTGCGAGTGCGACCTGAAGTTTTACGAATGCTGTTAATTTCGATATTTAGATTTCATAGAGCTCTATCAATATCACACAGAAACACACACATGGCTACTGTTAGGCACAGGGGGAGAGAAAATATACGAAATCGAAAATATATTAGATGAGAGCGAGGTACGTCGCATAGGACTTCTCCGATTTTTCTTTTGTTTTCCTCGATTTCTCCGCAGAAATCTTAGGATCATTTCCAGTCTACTTTTTTTTTCTTCTTCTAGAAAGGAACGAAAATTTACTCTACGCTCTCAAAGTTTTCAATCATACTTCATGTTACATTGTTTTAGTTTTTCTTCAAAAAAATCCATATCATTAAATATAAATAGATACATATGCATAAGATATGTCTATATGTTTTCTTTGATATATTTTGTTCGTATAATTTTTGTTTATGTGTAGAAAAAATAATTTAAAAACTAACTTTTTTTTTTTTTTTCAAAAAAAAATTGCAATTACATTATATAATATTCTATATGTAATTTTGTATTACAATTTTATATTAAATATGATTTTATATGGATAATTTTTTTATTTTCGCAAACTTCACTTTTTGTGAAAAAACATAATGCAAAAGTTATCCTAATTTTTCAATTTTTATTATTTTTTTCTAATATCTGTACGACCAGAGATTATAGAGAGAAAAGAAAGAAAACATATTTTATATATAATAACATATATATGTATTTAATATTTATATTTAATTAAATATGGACTTTTTATCAGAAATCATATACGTATAAAATTTTATTCAGAGAAACGAGATTGGAGAGAAAAGAGCATCAGGAGAAAACCTGAAAAATCAAAATTACTTCAATTCACTCGAGTGTCTCCGTTGCGGTGAATTTTTTGTTTTTCTCTTTAGTGCTTCTTTTTTCAATTTGCCAGCAAAGAAAGAAAGCGAGAACGGCAAGCGGCTGAGAAAAGAAAATTGCCTATGTCGCTTAATCCTGTGTAATCGATTTTATAATGCTACTATTATTTATTAAAAGAAGAAAACCTTATTTATTTCTTAGAGATCTGACTAAATTGCAAAACGTTCTAATTATCATAAGTTATCTATTACTATTATAGGGCAGAGCGATGTATTCTTCCCCTATTTCTAGAGTTTCCGAGTGAACTCTGTCTTGTAAAAAGAATGTGAAACGAAGCTACAGCTACAGTGATAAATGAACGTTGTATCGAATCTGTACGCAACTAATTATATTATATTATGTTTAGTTAAGCGTTAATTAAATAACTTACCAAGCGCGTTGTTTTCTTTTTCTTTTTCTTTTTTTTTTTTTTTACTTTCCACGACTCTCTTTACAGCGAACTCTGTCAAAGTACCTGCTTCGAAAAACGAAAATCTATGAGGAAAAGTAAAGCATTATACACAGGTACCGTCCCATATATTATACATAATTCACAGAAAGAGAGACAGACACACACACGCGTCGCGTAATCATCACACACATAAAACACATACACACACATACGTACGATAATTTATATACACTCGCCGAGCTGAGTTTTCATAAAAAAAAATTGGTTAAGCGAATCACCTCCGTGTGTCTTCGATTCATTGTATAAAGAAAAATGCAAAAGGGGGAAAAAGAAGCGCGAGCAAGGAGTTACTGTCGACAAATTTTGGAACGTGTCTAAAAACAATTTTTCCTATGGTGTTGTCAAGACGATGTTGAATGTACATAAGATATAATAAATAATATACCTTATACGATGTAAATCGACCCGGTTTGTTCCTTCTCTATCCTCGCACCATTATACAATTATTGCTAGTATAACGGAATAAAATATAAAATTTCGATAATAGTAATATTTCTGTGCCATTTCTTTTGAAATCGATCGCTACGGAGTTAATTATAATAATTATAATTCCTTACGTATCTTACTGTTGATAATAATTCCACAAGTCTTGCATTGCAATTGAAATGGGAAATTTTCAATGACAATTTATTAGAAAGACGTAATGTAACTTAAAAATTATATTTCATGCAAAGAAAGAAAGATTGAAGCGTCCCTAATGACAAATTTTCATAGAATTTTTATATGAATCGGAATACTTTTCAAAAAACTTAGAAAATTTACGTCTTTTCTTGAAATTGTTCACATATGTGAATTCTAAAATATTTTAAGATTTCTCATTCTAATTTCTGGAAAAACTCCTTCAGATTTTATTGGAAATAAATCTTAGAATATTTCAGAATTCATATTATACATACATAAAGAATTTTAGAAAAGATATAGACTTTCTTGACAATAAAAAATGTTTCAATATGAAAAAATCTGAAAATTTTTCTAAAAAGTTATAAAATGAAATATGAAAAACCTGAAAAATTTTGAAATTTACAAAAGTTCTGAAAAATTATATGCAAATTCTAGAGAACTCATCATGAATGTAAAAAAAAGTGCTTGCTTTTAGAAAATTGGAAACTTTTAAACTAAAGAAAGTTACATATATTTTATACATATATATATTTTTTTATTTATAGAAAAACATTTTATATTTGAGCGTAAATAATCGCAACGCCTTGCAGCAAAAGAAATAGCTGGAAAGTAGTGACATCTTGGAGAGCTCTGTTGATAAAAATTTTGGGGAGCACTAATTTTAATTATTACAAAAGGTCTTTTTGTAATATAATTTTTCAAGCGCATTAGTACTTGAAAAATATAATTACATATAATTTTATATTTAGTACTATATGCATACATATATACATATATATATGTATATATACACATAAATCTTTATTTTTCTAATTATTACTTACATAGATGATAAAAAAATGAATGATAACAATATATTTTTAAAAAATTATTTATTTTTATTTATTTATTTATGTTTAATAAAAATTTTCTATTATCGATAAATGAATATCAATCGTAAGTATTCTTAATTATTATTAACTCACATTTTTGTAGACAGATGACAGCACCAGATAATTTGCGTGCGTAAAAGCGTCTCTTCTCGAAATATGCCGTTTCCTCTTCCGTTTGGATCTGGATAAGGTTCGTAGCATTTTTGATACGATTTTATAATATCCATGTTGCGTGTATCAATCGTAAAATGCATTAGTGTCATATGATTTCCGCAGAGATCTGCGATGATCGATTATGGTTTACAATTCTATATAATTTAATTTCTTTTATTAACAAAGTAATTAATGTTGCAGAACCAAGATGGTACAGCGACTAACCTATCGGCGACGCTTGTCGTACAACACAAAAAGCAACAGAAGGCGTGTGTAAGTATATGTACAAATAATAATAAATGATAATGTCAGATAAAATTCATTAACTTTCATTTACAGAGGAATTTTATTTTGTTAATGACATTATCGCGATAAATTGTTAAAGGTTTGAGGTTATGTTTTGATCGCTTGCTTTAAGTTTCGTAAAATTCACACGTGTTACACACAGTGACATTAATCTTAAATTGTTGCTCTTATCAACATTTATTCAATTATTATTACTGCAATTTTATTTACTTCTTTAATTATATTTGCTGCAAATAATCTGTATTCTGCAAAGTAATTAGAACTGTCATATTAAAGTGAATTTTTCTTGGCAAATTTTGTGAGTTATTATTATTAACAACTGACTAAGATAAATTTTGTTTATAGCGTACGTACGCCGGGTGGTAAATTAGTTTACCAATACCTGAAAAAACCTAAAAAGATCCCAAGATGCGGACAATGTAAGGATAAGCTCAGGGGTATCCAACCTGCAAGACCAATGGAGCGTTCACGTATGTGCAGACGTAAGAAAACAGTCAAGCGAGTATATGGTGGAGTCCTTTGTCACAAATGTGTAAAAGAAAGGTATGTATTTAACATCTTAAATTGCTCATATTTTAAATATTTATTTAATAAACATCAATTATATGTTTTACACATTTAACAAAAGCATCCTACAATACTTATATTTTAAATATTGATACACTAGAACAATTATTTGTCTTCAAAGCAGGATTAATCTTTACTTTATTAAATAAACCTGCAATAAGTTCTACGTTTATATAATATTTATAACAAACTGCACTGATTTTCAGGATTGTGCGTGCGTTTTTGATCGAGGAGCAAAAGATCGTCTATAAGGTTATGAAAGCACAGCAGGCTTCTGCAAAGACGAAAAAGACAGAGAAGTAATCTTGTGCTTTTTATTAAGTAAATAAAACAAGTAATAAAATCCCAAAAATGAACTGTTGCCACTATTTCATTATGTCTTGTTTAGTATACCGTACTAACTTATGAATTATTTCATAACATACTCGTATAGTAAAACCTTTTTAATTAAGAATCCTATAAATATAAAAGATTCATTGAACATGTCTCAATGTAAATTCACCGTAATAGACAAAATATAAAGTTATTTATCTATTCTTATATGTGTCTAGTTACTTGAATTGAAAGAGTTCTATTATTGTTTAATAGATATATAATCGTCTATGCTGAATATTGCTGTTAGTACTTGTATCGATTTGGTATAATTTTTCTTACAATTACATTTTTTTATACTTGTTCTACTTATGCCATTTTTTTAAAATTTAATATTCAATGTTTCTAATTATGATAACAATATTACTACATAATTATTATACAACTGTTAGAAATAATAAGGAGCTTTCATTACATGTAAATGAAGCTTGTGGTTGTAAAAAAAAACGAAATTAAAAGTAATGAATAATTTAATTGAAAATTAAGTTACAATAGTTACTTAAATGAACATATATATTAAATTTTATAAATTTAATATGAAATTAAGTTCAAATGATAACTTAAAAGTATTGTATTAAATTTCATGAAATTTTTAACAGTGTATATTATTATAATAGACATTTTTAAAAATAACAAAATGGTAATTTCTTGAGCTCTCAATATTCAAAATAAATATTAATAAAAGGAAAAACAAATGAGAGCGAACATTGCAGTTGTTGGCATAAAAATATTTGTTCGAAATATATTTACTTGTACATTCCACATAAATTGATTTTCCCATATCGAACGTTTCGGCTTTTTTCTTCAAGTCATCTTGAGCGAGTTTACCATACAAGGAAGAAATACGCACACATTTTTTAGAGCAATGTACGTAAGGTTGCACGCACACATTTTTGAGAGTAATGTACGTAATGTTGCACGCAAGTTAATGACAGGCGCGGGAATGCGTGCGCAGAAAATGTATGATGTAAACTCGCTCATTCCATACGTTGTGTATATACGTGGCTGCATTTAATAGGCGCACGTATATCCAGAGTATGCTTCGTAAAAGCATTACACGTAACATCATGAATTATCACGAATATGTACGTATTTCGTAATTCTATACCTATATAATTTAATGTTTATATCAATTTCTTGATTAAAATACCGGAATAAAATAATTTTTTGATAATTTTAATTTTAATTCTAATAAAAAACGAAAATAATAAATTTAAACAAAATACTTTTTTAATTTCTTACTATTTTACTTCCGAAGTAGAACTTCTCAGGATTGAATTGAATTTCAAGTTCGCGAAACAGTAATCAAAATTGCGTTAGTATCTACATGGGAGATGTTTCATACGTACGAAGGATTCGGTTACTCTCTCCGCGTATGGCGATCTACTTGTAAGAACATTTGCAGCTTTGGAGGGGGAAAGGGGGACAGTTCTGTGGACGATCGGCGACAGGTATTGTGTTACCGATTATGGCAAAAGGGCTGCTCGCAAAACCCGTCCCGCGGGACTATTGCGAGTCTCGCTAGCCTCGGAATGCCTAACAAGTGCCTTATTTGTTCGGCACACATATGGACATATATGTAGGTACCCGGGGATCGGATATACGCGCGCTATAGTTTCCACAGTGCAGTGGTGCAGAAACGTTCGCGTCGGCGAGCGGCGAGAGCTGTAAAGGCTTGTCACCTGAGAATGCGGACAGCGCGGCGAGCTGGCATTAAATGCCTGGCGTTCCCCATGTTATGCTGCGCCTATCGTTTACCGTGTCCTGAAAAATGTTATGGCTAGAACTCGACGGAATTTTTCTTTGCCGTCAACCCGTTCGTGGTCCCGCAATAAAAACATTCTGACCAATTCAAAATGCGAATATATAATTTATTTAAAATGCAGCATATAACATGGTTCAATAATATAAATTAAAAATAAATGTTTAGAAAGGCTATGAACCAAATAACAATAATGTAAATGTATAAATCTAAGAAACAAATATAATTATCATGATCTAAAGCAAATAACAAGTAACAGTTGTTTCGAGCCCGGTCGGGTCTTCTTCAATGTTACATATAAACATAATTAAGAACAGATAAATTAATATACTTAAATTAAATGGGTCAATTAATAAAATAATACAAAAAAATGAAAATCTGTCTTCCAATCTCCTACTTTCTTAATGATTCCTTCACTCTGTGTATCGCAGCCAGAGAAAGACGATTCTTCGCAATACAGCTTCCTAATTTTATACTCTTTTGCCAACGTGGAATTATTCTTGGCAGAAGAAATTTTGTATAATACATTTTTGGAGGTTTTTTTTTATCAGTAGACACCATAACATTGTAATTCTAAGGTAACTTTAACTACAAATTTTAATTTTTATATATATAGTAATCTAATAGACGGACTTTTATCACTTTATATTCGGTCGCTTTATATCTTTGTTTAATGCTCTGGAGTTTTCTTTGCTTTAAATATTATATTGGTATAATGTTTATTTTCACTATTTTTATAGATTTTAATGAGAATTTTTGAATTTACGATTATTTGTGAATATTTTTGCGCATTTTGACACCAATATTTAATATTTTGGCATCTAACATTTACGCTATATTGTTGCGAACGTAATATTCACGATGACAGGATGCGATTTTACAGATGGTCATTTTTTTGTATTATTTTATTAGTATTTGTATTATTTATTTCACTGACTCGTTTTATTTAAGTATATTAATTTATCTGTTCTATTTAATTATGTTTATATGTATCATTGAAGAAGACCCGATCGGGCTCGAAACGACTGTTACTTGTTATTTGCTTTAGATCATGATAATTATATTTGTTTCTTATATTTACACATTTACATTGTTGTTATTTGGTTCATAGCCTTTCTAAACATTTATTTATAATTTATTTATCTTGTATCCTTATATGTACAAAGTGTCTTTTACTTTTTCCCAATTTTGGTAATCATTTCTTTCAGCTGTTTTTGGAATTGATTACTCAATAAGAATGGTTTACATTAATTATAGTACGTGTTAAGAATAAGAGACTGAAAATAATACACTTTCGATAAAATTTTCGAAATCGTTAATTAATTGCAATGACGTATTGAGAGAAATATTACGTATGGACAATTATAATTTTGTCGATAACGAAAATTATTAAAATTATGTTATTTTTTTAAATTTATAAATTGTATTCTAATCAAAATTTTCATTCTAACTAAATATAGAACTCAAGTTGGTTGCTAGAACATCAAAATTTTTTATAGCATTGCTCATCGTCTTGAGTTTCCTACGTAATTATTCTTATGATCCAACAAAGTTATTTTTAAATCTGTATCTAACTAAATTTCTAGAGATATTTCAGCAAAAATCGTTCTTTCTGAATAACAGGCAAATTTAGTAGTTAACTCTAACTACAACCAACATTTGGAAATGGAAGACAAAAGGAGAATTAAAATAGGAAATATTTTTAAGGCTTCGATGATTATCTTACGAAAAGAGCTGCATCCTTCGTGGTATTTGCGATCGCCGAGGGATCTTTGCGCAACGGACTACAGAACGTGACCGCATGGCTAGAACGTGACATCTTGTCGTTTCCTTTTCAAGTTAAAAATTCCTGCGTAACTCGTCCACAACAGGTAGGACGAAAAGAAATACGAGGAACGTGATGAGTCGACACGCAAAAAAATGGCGCGACGAAAAGTCAGATGCCATGAGGCTAATCCGATTTCATGGGACGAGTCGGGCACAGTGCTCTTTGACCATGATTTAAAATTTTCCATAGAATCTTTCTCATCGGTCTATAAAACATCCTTCTCGAGGCCGTATCGAAAATGATCGCTGTGGCTGACCGCGCACTGATCGGTGCGGCATTTCGTCTCGGTTCAATTGCCTCGGAATCGTTGCAACCATCGCACCGCAGCTGCGAGTAACGAGCGAGATTGGTACATACACCTACTCACGCGCATTGCAATTTTCGATTCCCTCGAGCATGCCGAGATGCATCGCAGCTATCAAGTCGAATCATTCTCCGGCACCGAGACGGCAAATGCATTTACGAAGGAAAGAAAATAATATTTTTCGAACGTATTGTAGACAACGATATAATTCAATCCCAGAAAAAAGACATGGAAAGAACGATTTTGTTTAAGTAAGTATCTTGAGCTTTAAACAGATCTGAAAATAATTTTATTGAACAATTAAAATAACGATGTAGGAAACTCAAACATGATGAGTAACAAAATGTATGACGGTCTCTCAAATTGGTTACTAGAATGTGAAAACTTTGTAACTATAAAAAATTTTCACATTCTAGCAACCAGCTTGAGAGAGCATCTTCTACGTTTTATTACTTTGATAGCCCAATAAAATTATTTTCAGATCTGTATTTATATTTAGCTAATCTTAACAAAACTCTTTTTCTATGTGGATATAACGTTTTTTTTTTTTTTTCAGATAAAATTAAATTTCAATTGATATTAATGATGGACAATAGTTGATTGAGAAAATGATATAATTCTCTTTCTTTCGATAGACGACAGTGGATGGGGAAGGTTGATCACTAAATTTTGTGCTTCCATTCGGAATTATACAGGAGGATACATTGGTCACAAACAGCAATTGTCCGGTGTCACGTTTAATTGACGGTTATAAAATGTAGCACGAGCGTGCAGTCGAGAATAATTTGGCGTGAGACGCGCGAGCCAGCTCTCGGAGAGGAGATGCGTCGCTACGTGATTCCTATAATTTTCTGGATCGTGTTTAGCGAAACGACAAGTAGATGTTGTAACATGCGTGTTCCTATCATTTCGCGACATTATTATTAGATAGACGCGCTTTGCATCGCATTACGTCGCGTTGTCGTCACTATTCGTACAGAAATTCTCTACCACTTAAAATAATAAGCGAAATTAATCGATGGAGTAAAATCTTAGTCTACAAATTTGATAAATATTTTAATATATAATTATAAAAAAAAATATAACATATATTTTAATTCTCTTTTTATATAAGAGATATATCATAATAAATCGTAATGTATTTAAATTATATATTTTTTGTAATACGCATAGTTGTAATACATATATTATTAATGTTATAATGTCATATAATTTTGATTACACGTGCGCATTACATTATGTAATTATGTAAAACGCAGTGCGATGAGATTAGG